TGTACCTTCCAGGACCTGTCTCTGCTCTTTTTGGGCTGTTTCTGCACCTTCTGGAACATTTTCTGATGCTTTCTGCACCTTCCAGGACCTTTCTGAACATTCTGGAACCTTCTGGGGCCTTTCCAAAATTTCTGCAATTTTTTGGGAATTTTTTGGGATTTTTTTCCCGGAGTTTTGGGGCTTTTTATCTACCTTCCAGGACCTGTCTCTGCTATTTCTGGGCTATTTCTGCACCTTCCAGGACCTTTCTGTGCCTTCTGGAACCTTCTCTGAACCTTCCGGGACCTTCCAGAAATTTCTGGGATTTTTTGGGATTTTTTTCCTGGAATTTTGGGGCTTTTTATGCATCTTTCAGGACCTGTCTCTGCTATTTCTGGGCTTTTTTGGGATCTTCCAGGACCTTCTCTGCACCTTTCTGCACCTTCTGGAACCTTCTCTGGACCTTCCGGGACCTTCCCGAATTTTCTGGGATTTTTTGGGACTTTTTCCCCAAAATTCTGCTCTTTTTATGCATCTTTCAGGACCTGTCTGTGCTCTTTTTGGGCTGCTTTTCGGCTCTTTCGGCACCTTCCAGGACCTTTCTCCACCTTCTGGAACTTTCTCTGAACCTTCCAAGACCTTCCGGATCCTTCCCGAATTTTCTGTGACTTTTGGGGATTTTTTTGGGATTTTTTTCTCAGAAATTCTGCTCTTTCTATGCATCTTTCAGGACCTGTCTGGGCGCTTTTTGGGCTGTTTTTCGGCTCTTTCTGCACCTTCCAGGACCTTTTCTGAACCTTCTCTGAACCTTCTGGGACCTTTCCAAATTTTCTGGGATTTTTTGGGATTTTTTTCCCGGAATTTTGGGGCTTTTTATGTACCTTCCAGGACCTGTCTCTGCTATTTCTGGGCTTTTTTGGGACCTTCCAGGACCTTCTCTGCACCTTCTGGAACCTTCCAGGGCCTTCCCGAATTTCTGGCGTTTTTTGGGAATTTTTTGGGATTTTTTTCCCAGAATTTTGGGGCTTTTTATGTACCTTCCAGGACCTGTCTCTGCACCTTCTGGAACCTTCTCTGAACCTTTCTGCACCTTCCAGGACCTTCCTGCAGCTTCCAGAACCTTCTTGGGCCTTCCCGGGATTTCTGGAATTTTCTGGGATTTTTTGGGAATTTTTTCCTGGAGTTTTGGGGCTTTTTATGTACCTTCCAGGACCTGTCTAGGCTCTTTTTAGGCTCTTTTTGGGCTCTTTCTGCACCTTCTGGAACCTTCTCTGAACCTTCTCTGAACCTCCCAGGACCTTCCAGGATCTTCTGGAACCTTCTCTGAACCTTCCAGAAATTTCTGGGATTTTTTGGGGATTCTTTTACACAAATTCCATTCTTTTTATGCATCTTTCAGGACCTGTCTGGGCTCTTTTTGGGCTATTTCTGCACCTTCTGGAAC